ACACACACACACACACACACACACACACACACAACACACACCACACACACACACACAACACACACCACACACACACACACACACACACAACACACACACACACAACACACACACACACACCACACACACACACACACCACCCACACAACACACACACACACACACACACACACACACACACACACACACACACACACCACACACACACACACACACACACACACACACACACACACACCACACACACACACACACACACACACACAACCACACACACACACACACACACACACACACACACACACACCACACACACACACACACACACACACACACACACACACACACACACACACACACACACACACACACACACACACACACACACACACACACACACACACACACACACACACACACACACACACACACACACACACACACACACACACACCACACACACACACACACACACACACACACACACACACACACACACACACACACACACACACACACACACACACACACACACACAACATGTATATATGTACGCAAGCACCTACTGGAAAATAAGAGCTTCTCTAACCTTGTGGTCGAGCAAAAGCTCAGGTCCGCATTGAGTCGGCCAAACCCGAAACCACAGGTTGTAAAGCCGACCCATCAGTTGTTCTATGAAAATCAAATCTCTCCGTTATACAAGGTCGACAATAAAATCAATAGAGCGTCTCTAGGTCATGTATCAGGCCGACCAACAAAACACCGAAATAAGGTTTACCATTGTTACGAAAGTAGAAAGAAGATTAAGAATTGGCCACATATCAGTTATTACTAGAACGGAGCAGCTGAAAGTGTAGTGAAAACAACCTGATCCCAGCCTAAAGCCAACTGAAACGTACCAGCATAGTCAACGAGCTCAAATCCCCATGCGGAGACTGCCGGTTCGATAACGCGGCCTATATTGGAATGACTACGACATCCCCATCGCCATGCATAACTATGCACCTGCAGAAGGGTGCACCAAACTAGCATATAGGCAAAATTCATCATCAAAACTTTCTTCGCCCTGACGAAATTGAACACAAATTTTGACAAACGAAACCTCTGACAAACGAAAATACCCTCGTCTTCAAATCGTGTTCAAACAAACGCCGTCTGCAAGACCTGGAAGCCATCATTATCAGAAACTGACTATGTGCATACATGCACGGTTCAAGCTTTTTTATAAGCGGCTGTCCCTTGGCACAACTATGGCCGTCCTTCTGGAGACACGCCTCTGCGATTCATGCGTCACAGATCGCACATTCATTATATACATACATGCTCGGTTCAAGCTCCTTGATCAGTTCGCAAAACGACCGGATGCCGTCCGCACGATAGCGCGCTGGCCGTTCGCTAGTCGTATTCATAATCTACCAGAATCAGTGGGCTTGCTGGTTTATTCGGATGTGCACACCCACAGTGACGTGTAATTCACGTACGATTCTCCGCGGGCGATGCCATTCAGGACCTTCTCCACAGAGTTCTACTACCGAAATACGCAGATTCGGTGGGAACGGAGTGCAATCATTCTTATTTGGCTGTGAGCGCACGATATTCTTTTATATCTAGCTGTCTGATTCATAGACAACTATTGTCATTCACATCCGACTTATTGAGGCTCAATATACCTATACGAATTCCCGTTTGTTTTCATGAAGCAGCAACGCAGTACTGAAGCCTGCTGTACGACGGCAAGCTATTCCGCGACGTTGTAGTCGGCAAAGCCGCCCGTTCACTATGCCATCCGTGTAGGATTCCGGACTTGCCGCGGCGGATTAGACCGGGCCCTGAAAATTCAGTCCGTGACGATTCCTAACGTCAATTCATTCCCGGGGGGCAGCCCGGCAGCGGCCGCCGGCCGGCAGTCTCCAACTCCTCGCTGCAGGCTGGGCTCACGCCGGCATGCATATATATATATATATATATATATATATATATATATATATATATATATATATCCGTCTCGGGCCCGTCCGCCCACCCGGGCCGGAGCGTCGGGGCCGCCGCGGCGGGGAGGGGCTGTCTGGCCCTGTCGCCCCCGAGGCGGTATGAGGCGCAGCGACCATCCCGTCCAGCTGTTTCACATCATTCACGGGTCACCGCCAGATTG